GGGGGGGGGGGTTGTTTAGGTGGGGACGGTGGTGGAGAAGCTAACGCTGTCATGGCGCCGCGCAGCATCGCCAGGCAAGCGGTACCTCGGTACACTCCCTCGCGGCGCGTTACGTATTCTTCAGGGTTCCGTGATCGGCGGCGACGAGCGACCTGGTGAAATTCGTGTGTGCGTCCGGTGTTGCTGTGCTTTCACGCGACGCGAGCCGCTCGTCGCGTTGTGTCCGAACCGGGTGTACTCGCAAGCGCGGTGGTCTCTCCACTCTTCTTACTCTCTTCGGAACGCCTGTCGTGGTAATACTTAATCGCTGACGACCGCTGACCATCCTTGTGAAAACGCGGGTTCGAGAAAATGTGAAAAGCAACCTTGTGACTCGTGATACAGGAGATACCGCGGCGGCAAACCACGTCGCGACGGTGACACATTCTCCGTTTGTCACGTATGAATATCGATGTACGTATCGTTCAAGTGTATACGATCCCGTAGTGACGTGAGTGACAGCGGCGATCCACGGGGGATCCATCGCGGCGGTAAAGAGTAGCACGCGCTTGACTGGCTTGCCCGCGTCGCCATCGATCACGAAGGTCGAGGCCGAAGGTCGTGGATTCGTCATCTCCGGGAGTTATCTATACGTGTGTTCGCCAAAACTCAGTGTCTGACTTTACACGAGAGTCTGGTTCTTATCGGGAACCCGCTGGTTCTTAGTGCTGCTGGTGTGCCGCATGCTAGGTGAATCGATGACGGACGAAAGGAAATCGTGACAATCGAGATCTCGATACGCGATGTTGCGGTACGACCGGACACGTGACTGAGGCGGAGCAGCGGCGGGGATCTGGTGAGAGACCTTCGCGAGTTCTGTTCGGGGAACTGACATCGGCGAAGATAGGCGGGGGTGGCCGCCGCGGGTGGATCGAGCTGGCAACGGCTGAGTTTCGTCACGACGTGCTACTAGGAATAACAATGTCCTAGCGAAGGCAGGACCGCGTCTCTAGGCCGATCCCCCTCATCCTGATCCACTTCTCTTCCAGAAACCTTCATACACATACACACACACACACACACTCACACACATATCCCGTCGGTCCTAATCACCAACGTACACCCAACCAACCTACCATCATCGCGTCCTACACCCGCGCTCGTGCTGCTACAGATTCGACTGCACACATGTAATCGGCCGCGCGCGCGCACACACACATACGTAGACGGTATATAGAGACATACATCCCCGTGTACACGCGAGAGGAGCGTAAAAGAGAAGAGGGACTTACACACGTACAGACGTGCCGCCTTGGACGCCCTTTTTGCCGGTGGCATCTTTTCCGTTCCTAGTTCTTTATCGACGATCGACGTATCGTTGCGATCCATACACG